CTTTTATCACTTTTTCAGCTTGAATTCTCATTTTTTATTTTCAGAATCGGATGGAAGACCTCTCATTGCTCGCAATGAGTTTCTAGTTATTATTAATTTTCTGACCATCTAATTTTGTGCACGCGATTTCTCAAAGACTACCGGATGGATTTTAATGAAATTTGCAGGAACAATGTGTTGTTATCTGAAGTTATTTTATCCGAGAGGATTCTTGGAAATTCTTTTCCGGTGTTAAGTTACGGACCATTTTCTGAATTTAAAATGACATTTTGTCCACGGATAATCTCAAGAACGGTAAAAGATGTCAATGTGAAACTTTCAGGGATTATAGATCGTGATAAATACTATCCGGGACGTGACTATTCGTTCGTCGTCATTACTTCAGGTCGTTATCAAATGCGAATTTAAAAAGTTGATTTTTTTTTTTTTAACTTTTTTGATTTTCAGTATTTTTCTTTGATAGTAGTAGTGTTAATAGAGGCACTTCTGAAAATGCTTAATATATTATTTGTTTTCAAATTGATAAATCTAAAATCTAGATATTCACATTTTAAAATTTGAAGCGGGTCCAAAATGGCGGCTGTCTTTGTAAACTCCGACGAGCAGCTCGGCACACGGAGCTCCTCGGGTGGTTCGTTCCTCGCACACTAACCTCGGACGTCAATTGTATTCTACCGTGTTGCTGATACAGTCATGTGATCTTATTTGAAATTCCTCCAAATGTTATACCTTTGAAGTCTGAATTACTTTGAAGCACGCTTTGCTTTCAAAGACTACTTACATGATGTTGTGATCAAAACCAATATCCAAGGAAGAATTAGACAGGAGAAAAAAATGTTAGAAGAACTTTATGCAGAGTAAAATATGAAATGAGTTACAGGCCAGTTTCCGGCGAAGAAATGTAATTGATTTGATGCATATTTCTCCACCAATCACTTCCGAGGTTTGTATGTAGCGTAGCGGAGTCAGTCGAGGATTGCCGATTGGCAGGTTGGAGTTTACGGAGACAGCCGAACGTCTTGTTGAACGAAACTACCATAAGGATCAATGACATATGAAGGAATTATTGGATCTTTCAGATTATGAAATGGATAATCTGTCTTTGAAAACATAAACACTCTGACCTCCAAATGCAATAAAATGAGTAATTTGTACGGTACATACAATAATATATAAGAAAATGGAGACCATTCAATAACACATACATTTCAAAGAAAATGCGCGAAGATTTATCGTGACGTAATGTATCGTGACTCTTCCTTCCTAGTAGAAAAATGGTCTGAAGCAGAAGTGCAGGAAAAGATTACACGGACACGTTTGTATGAAATACAGGTATATGGAATTGCATGGCATAAAAAGTTGAATACACAAAGAATAAAGGAAGTACATTGTAAACAGTTTCATCAGTTCATCAGTAATAAATTATTTGTTATTGTTTAAACTCAAGTAACGAATTCCGATGTGAATCTGCTTGCACAAAATTTGGCTAGCTAGGTCTCATTCTATAATTCCGCACTATATAAAATAACTTTTAACACCCCTGACGCTCGTTACTTCAGGCAATGATACAAAGTAAACATCGATGATGGCTGGTAAAATTGCGCTTGTGTAGTGGCTTCCATATTGAATTTTCACGAAGGCGATCTGGGTTTAATCCCGAATTTGTTTGCTTAAATTTACGTTTTCAAATGATGTTGAGTGTTTTCTTTTTGTTAGAGATGATAGAACATGATTTCTAGATTTGCCAAGGGACCCTTTCATTCGTCGTCGTTAGTTCTGGTCGCTTCCGGAAGCGAATTTTCAAAAAAAAAAAAAAAAAAAAATCGATTTTTTCAACTTCAATATTTTTCTGTAATATTTGTAGGGTTAAGAGGGCCTCTTTTCAGAATACTAAATATATAATTTGTTTTCGAATTGATAAATCCAAACTCTTGATATTCGTCATTTTCTATTTGAAGCGGGAGTTGAAATGCGCAATGATTAGCGCGTTGGATTTTCACGCTGACGACCACGGTTAAATCTCCAGAGTGTCTTAATTTTTTTCACTTTTTCAGCTTGAATTTACATTAATATTTTTTTTTTCAAAATCGGACGGAAGACCTCTCATTGCTCGCAATGAGTTTCTAGTTATGATTATACTTTCTCCCTTGGCCCAATCTGGCACATGCTTCATCCATGGAGTACTAGTGGGTTAAGGGTGTGCAAAGTCCTTGAACCAAGTTTCTAGGTCAGATGTAAAGGTCATTACAGATATCTCAGTGAAATCTTTGTCATGAACACATTTTTTTTCAATTAACATTATCTCCTCTCTGGTTCATACTTCACCCATAGAGATGATCGAGTGCTTGTAGCTAAAGGGTGTGCAGTGACAATGAAAGAGCTTTTTTTTTTGGTTAAAGTTCAAGGTCAAAAAACCCAGAGAGTGTCCATGTGTAAAGGTGTAAGTAAAAGGTCAAAGTCAAACTCCAAATACAGTCCTTTTCATCCAAGTATGCTTTTCTTCAAGTGATGACCTTTAAGATGACTACCATTTCAAAGATATTTAGTTTCATTAGAGTTGGTGTGCAAACAACTGGGACCACTGCAGTGCAGAGATGGCATACTTAGAATGGCTAGAGACTGGAAGATGCAAGTCAACCTTGAGAAGAAGCTTTTTTCCAAACAACTGAAACCACCCAACCACCAGACATCCTAGTAATATTAGTAAGCATGAAAAAACTAGTAGTGATAAAGATGACACTACCATGGGAGACAGATGCCAGAAAGCCAAAGATTATAAACATGCAAGGTATTATGATCTGGTGATTGATTGCAGGAAAGTAGGATGACAGACTTGGAACCTCCCAGTTGAAGTGGGAGCATGAGGTTTCCTAGCAGCATCATGTTTGAAGATGAAGGCAGCACTTAGGATGAATGGAAGAACTAGTAAAAGAAAGCAGTTAACAACCATGGCTGTGGCAGCCGAGAGGGCATCAAGCTCACTGTGGTTGAGAAGAGTAGCTGGAAGCCTGACCATTGGGGGTAGAAGACTGATCATCTTCTGCCACCACCCAGAGGAAGCTGTTTTATGTACATCAGTAAAGTGGAGTTTACTTAAGTTGCTGACTAATGAATGTGATTCAAATCCAATGGTAAATCCTTCAGTCATGTTTCAAGAGTTAGATCAGAACAATGTTCCAGTTGTCCATCAATTGCACCTACCTTTTAAAAGAATGCTTGAAGATATCATTTCTATTAAGACAAAATGAATTATTATTCATCTGTTGAAATCAGTGCTGCTAGATTTTTATTATACCACACGCAACAAGTTGTGTGGGGTATAACGTTTTTGACCCGTCCGTCTGTTAGTCAGTTAGTGTGTCAGTCAAGTCCATCATCCTGTTTTTTTGTCTTGCGCAACTCCTCTTAAATCGCTGAACAGAATTTCATGAAACTTTGCAGATTTTTTAGACACAGTGTGTAGTTATGCATATTGCCAAAAAAATTCTTATTCCATTATTTTTCTTGCAATTTTGGCACTTTTCAACTTAGATTTTTGGTCATATCTTGAATATAGAGAGGAACAGTTTGTCAACGCATCTCTTCTTCAACCGCTGAACAGAATTTTGTCATACTTTGCAGATATTTAGGACACAGTGTGCAGTTTTGCATATTTCCAGAAAATTCCAATTCCATTATTTTTCTTGGAATTTCGGCACTTTTCAACTTAGATTTTTGGCCCATATCTTGAATAAAGAGATGAACAGTTTGTCAGTGAAACTCCTATTCAACCGCTGCACAGAATTTCATCATACTTTGCAGATATTTAGGACAGTTTGTAGATTTGCATATTGCCAGGAAATTCCAACTCCTTTATTTTTTCTTGGAATTTTGGCACTTTTCAACTAAGATTTTTAGCCATATCTTGAGTAAAGAGATGAATAGTTTGTCAGTGCAACTTCTCTTAAACCACTGCACAGAATTTTGTCATACTTTGCAGATATTTATGACGCATTGTATAGATGTGTATATTGCCAGGAAATTCTGATTCCCTCAGAGTTTTGGCTATTTATTGAAGAAACTTTCCAGCTAGGTAATAAGGGAAATCCACCAGAATCAGCTTTTGTAATGAATTTTTTTGTGGAATATTTTATGTCCTTTAAAACCCCTATTGATTTTAAGATCAAAATATTAATGATTCAACACACACAAAAAAAAATCTTGGATAGAAGTACACAAAAAGTTCTCAACACCCCCCCCCCCCCCCCACACACACACACACACCCCTCGAATTTGTGCTTTGCCTTAAATAATTTCATAAGTACAGTTTATAAATAAATTTATATGACTACATCATAGTTTTGATTCCATCAATTATTTAAATGTGTAAATTGTCATATGTTGGACATGGACTTACACTCGTTAACAAATGGAAATCACTGAGGAATTTAAATAACAGTTTGTCAGCATAACTCCTACACTGAATTTCCTGAAACTTTGTAGGTATTTCTGACATAATGTGTGATTTGTATATTACCAAGAAATTTTGATTCCATTATTTATCTACAAACTTCAGCCCAATTAAATTTGTAACAGCTAGACAAAGATTTAAATGTCCTTATATGCAAGAAGTTTTGATGTGATGATTTTTTGCAAGTAATGTCCCTTTTTGAATTATAGGCTACTGTGTATTTGAAGTGCACTATGCCATTCATTATGTGTTGCATTGTCAAGTTTTGGGGGAGCGTGGGATATGTGAGCTTGCTCACTTTTTCTTTCATTTATTTTGAAAAAACTACTTCAAGAATGGCCCAGAACTAAATTCAAATAATTGAAATGTTGACATAATAATTGTTCGTGAGGAAGTTAATTCATGGGTGAGGGTGACCTACAAAATACATGAACACAAGCGATGATTCCATATTATACATGTATGCCCTGGATGTATACATGAAAGGGCCTTCAGCTCAGGTGAGCTAAAAAGTGAAAAGCAAAATTTAATGAATTTTTAATTTGTCTTACTTGTATGTAGTTAACATAAGAAAATGTATATCTTCCCAATGTACATCACTTATAAGCTTTGCTGAGCTATTCTGAAATTGTCATAAGCATTTTTAGTACATGTGAATGTGAATATATGTGTCTGTAGTCATCAAGAAAGTTGAAGCTGTTGTAACTTTTTGATATCGTTGATCAAGGGATTTAACTCTTGCTCTAACTGGACACTGTCTCCATTGTTGTTTATGATGTGATCCCAAGCTGAATAAGAGTCCAGTCCACATTCCGATTCTGCATCATCTACACCTAAAGTAAACAATACCAATATATATTTCAACATTTTTCTTTGTGAAAAATTTTTTTTATTTTAAAATTCTTGTCCAAATGGCCAAATTGACCTTTATCCATGCATGTAGACAAGCAATTTTTGATTGATTTGGTCCATAACTTTGCATATATCTAAAGAAAAATGCTCAGCAAACAAATGTATTATTTTCAATAAGCCATACTCATGGTGATAGGTACAAAGCTTAAATCTTGAACCTCATGGAAAAAAGAGAAATCAATTAGAATACAGCTTGGTGAAAATTCAGAGTAGAAATGTGAGAAAGCAAAACCAACACACCAGTATTGTCAGTCCTACTCAGTGATGTGTGCAGAGTTTTAACAAATTGAACACAATCGGTGGAACGTTAACTGTTTTGTAAGCAGGGCACAAGCTCTGTTATTGTTAATGCTTAAGTTCCACCAGGGTGTGTTCAATTTGTTAAACTGCACACATCACTGAGCACGGACTGACAATACTGGTGAGTTGGTTTTGCTTTCTCACATTTCTACTCTGAATTTTCTGGATTATATCTTAAATTTTTTTCATTAATAGACAACAAAATTTCTACTTTTCTTAAGTATTAAGGATAGAGTTTACTTTGTGAAAGTGCAAGGATGTGTCAATCAAGCGTGTCCCGAAATTTGTTGTTTCAATAATTTCTAGATAAAATAAGTTTTTAATTATATTTCCATGTGAAATGCTATAGCTACATATAAGTCATGATTTTATACAGAAAATTTGAGAAAAAATTAACTTCAAATCTCTATGTCCCTTTAAAGTTTCTTCTCTGTTTAGCATCCACCTATCATTCAAGAACCTAACTACCTTTTTAAAAAAAAGAAAAAGCCAAAAAATAATCGAATCCACATACTTAATGGTGATAAAAACTATATCATTCAAAGGATTTTATTTCATTAATGCCAGTATTTTACTTTTCTATAAGAAATATATTTCTTTGCAAAAAAAGGGTACATGTAGGTCTTTTTACAGAGCACATTAAAGTGTTGATGTCCATCTCTGAACAATAATTAATACATTGAAATGTTTAGAAAAATATGAGTTAATAAGTGTCTCATTCATTTTAATTGTATTAAAAAGGAATACCTTGTACATATTTCTACTCACCTTTTTTGAAAACAAATCCTCTTGCCTTTCTTACTGCTATAGTTGCCTCAATACGGACAGTTATAGTTTTCTGTGGATAATATTTTAGGAAATATTCAATATCTGTTTTCCTTCTAGCATCACTAATTACCCAGATCTCTTTATCAGAATCTGTGCCTGAAGTTGCAAGAACACAGAAATACTCAGAGTTCTCATTTCTTTTCTCTTCTCCCCATTGAATCATGTCTTCCCTGTAAGTCTCCTTGTATTCTGAAGAATCCAAAAGTCTCTGATGGTCAAGCCCATTCTCCTAAAAGCAACATTTCCAGCTTTACTAAGCAACAAAATTTGCAAGATTTATAATAGTCAACACATTTCCAATAAAAAATACATAATTCTCAGATTTCTGTAAGATTATATAAAACAAGAGACCCATTGGCCACAAAGCTCATCTGAGTCACTTTGACCCTGCTGTACTTCATTATCTGATTTTTTTTTTTAATTTCCCTATTAAAAAAATTTTAAAGATTTTCCCAATATACAGTATACCTAATTAGACTTTGATCTCCTATTGTGAACCCATCCTACCCCCCCCCCCCCCCCTCAGTGACCATGATTTGAACAAACTTGAATCTACACTACCTGAGGATGCTTCAATATATTTATGACTAATCATAGCTTTACTGTTCTTGAGAACTGCATGTTTTTTAAATTTTTTTTTAAATTTTCTGATATTCAATCTAACTCCACAATAGTACAATCTATACATGTATAAACATCATATTTCAGAGGATTCAGTAATTTGAGCAAGTGTGATGCAGCATATTGTTTCATATTAAATGGAAGGCAACAGATAATGTTCCCAGTTGAAATAATGTCAGAATTGAATCAACAAAGAGCAACAAGAGGTGGTGAAGTTTGATTGTGGGAAAGACACCAATAGAGACAAAACAATTGTTAGAGGAAGGTGGAGAATGGGTCTAAGGTATCAGGAACAATGACGAACAACAGGCATAAATGATAGACCTATGTAAAATTGGGGATGATGAAAGAATCCATGGTCTTGGGACTCTTTCCAGATCTTAATAAAAGCTCCAGGGACAGAAAATTTGATGATTTAGAAGACACGCAATTCATAAAGAATATTGATGATAGGGGTTGAAATGGTAGATAGAATTTTTTTTAACTAAAACAGTTTCATTTGAAGTAACTTTATGCCATAAAATTATGTGATACTTTGCTCCATGATAATTGTCAATACATGTCCATTTAAAAAGGACCCATGATCATGATAAGTGTGAGTAAACTGTCTAAAATTTAGTTTACTATTTCTTATTACATTTGTATTTAATATACTACATGTATTAATAAACACTATTTTTTTGTTTACAAGATATGTTCAGAAAAATTTAAGTTGTCTACAAACTTTTTCAAACAAAGTCCTTATATTGCATAAATATCAGCATTGTTCATAAAGCAAATACAAACCTTAGCATACTGTGATTTAATTGGACCAGAGAGTCGTAAGACTGTACAGAGTTCTGTAGAAAATCTGCAATAAACAATACATTAAGCAGACAGTGTAAATAATTCTCTACTGTTCTATAAATGTTTTTAGACAAAATGTTTTTTTGCACACAACTTACTTTTGCAAGCGATTTAATGTGTAAAAAAACACAAGGTAGGTTTGCTGTGTAAAATTTATTTTTATCTTTTTTAAAGCCACACTTTATGTTAATGCAAGGAAAAACAGTATTTAATATTTAGTATCTACCTCAATGAAGTTGACTATTTGTACCAAAAGAAAAGCTACCAAAGAGGTAACCCCATTCAGCCCATAATTTATTTTAAAACTTCAGGAAAGGGCACAGTTCATATGAAGTCAACTGATGTATAATCAACTCCAACCCGTAATGTCGGCTCATAACTAGAAGTCTATGCGAAAGACCTTGGACCTGATTGATGTACAGTGTCTCAGGTTGGTGCTTCTTTTTTTAACACTGGACTGGAATGTCTGATGTCTCAGTGTCCAGTTTTGAGTTTAACTATATGACACAGAGACATTTTGTTAAAAAAAAAATTGCACAAATCCAAACGTGCATGATTATAACTGCATGGATTACCTTGTATCACTTTCTTACATTAGGTTTTTCGGTCTGACAAAATTTGATTCAGTAATATGTGTTCCTTAAGTACACAGGACTGAATGTCCTGTGTGACCAAAAAACTTTGGCATAGACTGAACTAGGGACGTGTATAAAAGTTAGTATATACGCCCTTTCATCAGTGTTCATAGCCAGTAGGACTCTGCGAACACTAAGTGGAACAGACTGACTGACAGACAGCTAAATGGAGAGTAAGCCCATAGTTCCCCTCGGTTTCACCTGCAGCAAGGTAGGAGGCTAATAAAAAATGGTATTACTGTATGAAAAGAAAGAAATTACATGCTGTACACAACTTCGACAACTCGGTACTTTGAGTTGACATATATGATGTAACTGTTATATTTCAAGTATATTTCCACTACATGTTGTTGTTGACTTGTTGTAAATCTCAAGGTGTCTATGGATATTTGATTCTTACTTTTCTTGTAGCAAATCTGCAATAAAATCTTTCCCAGATTTTCTTTTTCCACTAAACACGACGATTGCTCTTGGAGAAATCACCATGCTTCTACTTTCACTTTTAAGCTAAGGAACTTATTTTACCTTCATAAGCAGGAGAGTGTGTTATCCACATGGTTTTGTATTTTCTAATTTCTCAATTTTTCAGAATTTTGGTGGTTTTAAACGAAAAAATTCTGGTATAGTGTACTTCTTTGTGTTTGATACATAGCTTTGATATAAAAGAATTTAAACAGCAGTGTTATGATTCTTTTTTTTAGATAAAATAATGTCATGAACAATCATTGAAGCAATCCATAGAAATGAAGAAGGTAAATACCGTTCCGTTTGCCCATGTTCTGTAACATGTCTGATTGATTTACAGTTGATGAGATTTCAACAACTAGTTAAATTCCTAAGCAGATTTAAAGGTCGTAGAATTCGACAAAATTTGGATACGACCCATATGGAGACCAAAAACTTGGTGAAGGAGGGGAAAGCAGAGGTACTGTACCCCCCGTATGTGTTCTATAACCCTGTCCAGGAATTCAACAGAGACTTAACTATTGCTGTTATCTCTCAGTTTGCAAAAGAAAAACTTATGTCACACCAGGGAACCAATTCCACAGTCAAAAATGAGGGAAAGGGTTCTTTAGACTCAGAGGTAAGATTTACATGTATACTAACACTGATCCAAAATCCTGAACATTTCATGTTTTATATAATCTTGATCTTGTGAATATTTTTCTTTCTAATGGTATTTAAAGTTTATTATTATCTTTCAAAGTAAGACAGTCAATCTGATTGGCTTAGAGTATGTCACCTGCAGTGTAGGGCTGTGTAATTGAGCAAAAAATTTCTATCAAAAAGGTGTATAAATCATTAAATGCTTGAATTTTATAGAAAACTAACTGTTTTGCAAGTCATTTCAAAGTTGTCTCACTGTCATTACAAATTACACTTCAAATTCAAACTTTTAACTACAACGTTAAATAAAGTTGTCTATGTATTTTGTATTGATTATCTAAGATGTGCTTTCCTCAATAATTATATCATTGATTATTGATCAATTTTAATTCAAAACAGTTAAATATAATCTTTGGTGATTGAAATTCCCAATTACTTTTTTGCACAGAATTATAAATAAAAACTGTCGGCCCAATATGTGTTGAAAGTTATTTTTTTTGATACGATACATTCTTGAATATCAATATGTATAGATATATTGATACAGCCCTACCTCGGGGAGACAATTTGTGATGTGTCCCCCATGCACAGGGTGATGACTTTGATGTCTTCTCCCCTCTAAACAATCTGTAAATATACATATATATTTTTTCAGGTAGGAATGACATAATAATTTCAAGAGAAAATCTTTGGAATTCCTTAATTTTGCAATCAGTTCTAATTAAATTGGATGTGTCAAAGTTATAGTACATTATACAAATTGTTTTATAGGACCAGATAAAGAGTTCAGAAAATGAGGATGCATTAGTAGCGGGAAAGTGTTATGACAAAGGACTCCGAGTTTTAGAAGGACTTGCAGCCTCTGGATTGCGCTCAGTTCGATTTGGATTAGAAATTCCAGGTGTCAAAGAAATTGTTGCAAATGACTTTGATAAATCAGCAGTTGAAATCATCAAGAAAAACATAGAACTGAACAAAATGGAACATTTAATAAAAGCCAACTATGGAGATGCAGCCATGGTGATGTATCAAAATAGGGAGAAGGAAAATAGATTTGATGTTATTGACCTTGATCCCTATGGCAGTCCTCATCTATTTTTAGATGCTGCTGTTCAAGCAGTCAGTGATGGCGGACTTCTTTGTATCACCTGCACTGATGCTGCTGTCCTGTGTGGCAATACACCAGAGACCTGTCACTCTAAGTATGGCAGTGTCTCCCTGAGGACTAAGTATTGTCATGAAATGGCACTGAGGATTATATTGAGAAGCGTGGAATCTCATGCCAACAGATACTCTCGCTATACTGAGCCCCTTTTGTCTGTTAGTGTGGACTTTTATTTCAGAGTGTTTGTCAGGGTGTACAGTGGTCAGGGGAAGGTCAAGAGGTCACTGAGTAAACTCTCTACTGTGTATCACTGTGTAGGATGTGGCAGCTTCCAGTTACAGAGAATGGGTCACATGATCCCTACAAAAGGAGTGGGCAATTACAAGTAAGAAAACATGCAATTTTATAAAATTTTTGTTTACCATGTTTTTTATCCAGCAATAAAGGAGGCTTATCTACCATATTATAATTGCTTGAATGAAAATTAAGCAAAACTAGCATTAAAAAAGACATAGATAATAGAAAGAGAAGTAAAGAGAGAGAGAGAGAGAGAGAGAGAGAGAGAGAGAGAGAGGGAGAGAGAGAGAGAGAGAAGAATTAGTTTTACTAAATGCATGATTCCCTCCCTCTGAATTCAATTAGGTACACTGCAGGAAATGGCCCAGTTGTAAAGGAATCCTGTGAAAATTGTGGCTTCAGATACACTGTGGGAGGCCCAGTATGGGCTGAGGAGATGCATTACCCAGACTTTGTACAGAGGGTAATTGACAGTGTTGAAAAAGAAAAGGAGAAATTTAAAACAGCAAAAAGAATTGTGGGAATGTTAAGTGTGATTAAGGAGGAACTACATGACATACCATTTTATTACACAATGGATGGGCTTTGTGGTGTATTACATTGTGAAATGTTGAGCTTTCCAGCCTTGAGGTATTAAACACAAAGAATTACTTGATATTGTTAATCAACTATTATCAGCATCATTTTTTTCAGTTTCAAACTTATCCATGATGACTAAGTTTCAAGACTGAGGAAATATTCTACCTGAATTCTTAAGGAAATAAATAGTTCACAGCGATAAATATTTGTGAGTAAAGTAAGGTCATGAAACTCACAGATATTTCTTGCATGTGAATAAAAGTTGGTTTACAGTATTCTTTAATTTTTTGGATAGGATTACATCAACTTTGATGTAGATATGGGTTAAAGATTTTATTAAATGCTATAAAACTTTTTTACAGATCAGCATTTTTAAATTCAGGCCACAGAGTTTCTCTTTCTCATTGTGCTAAAGACTCAATTAAAACAGATGCTCCTTCTTCATTTGTCTGGGTAAGAGTAGTACATATATACTATAACAAGCAATTATCCTTCTGTGAAGAGATCAGAATATTCTTTTCATTTTCTTGTTCCCTGTACATATATTTATTTTCATGACCAAACCACAAACACTTAGAATTATCTACAGTTGAACCTCGATATCTCAAACATGATATCTGAAATATCATGAATATGTCAAAGTGATTTGGAAGTCCCAACCCATTATTTAAGATTTTACCCTGGATATCTCGAATCCTTGGATATCTCGAAGTTTTTTCTTGGTCCTATTGAGTTCAAGATAATGAGGTTTAACTGTAGTTACAATACCATTAAAACTTTCCATATATCATTGTGTCATGGTTTTCTGAGCTTTTTTTGATAATGACCTGTTTTTTCAATACATTGTATATGTCTTTATATTGATATTAAACTTACAGATCAAGTTTCACATGGATTGACTCATTTTCACACAAGTTATTGCCCTTATATTTTGAAAATTTCCAATTTTTTTTTCTGTTTTCCGTAATTTTTCTCACAGTGTGCTTTTAGATAATGAGTTGATTTTTGTTACATATTTTTATATTGATGACTTGCAGATCAAATTTGAGTGTCATGTTAATTAATTGACCAATATAATTAAATGAAAGGTATTTGTTTCAAATTTCTTATTTTCGCTGTTTTCAAGAAGATTTTTTCATGGTGCTTGTAGACATTCGTTCATGTCACACTGACATGTCTAGCTTAAACCAGATTGAAGTTTTAAGGTAGTAATATTGATAGTATTTGATTTTGCTGTGAACAGCTAAACCATATTTTAAGCTCATGAGAACCAAAGGCTCAAGTCAGCTATTTTGATCAAACTCTCTCTTGCCTGTTAGTTTTTACATTCTAAATTTCTTCTCTTAAACCATTGGGCTATTTTCAAGCAAACTTACAATAAAGCATAAAAGATTTATGGTGATGGTTTGCTCAAATTAAGAGTCAAGTCCCCCATCAAGGGGAGATGATTAAGAAATAGCAAAAGTATTATGGTTTGTTTAAAATGACATGTACAGTTAAATTTCAGTATTTCTAATGCTAATATCTTGAATACCATGGAAGTGTCAAAGTGATTTGAAAGTCCCAACCACTTATATTAAGTAATTTACCCCGATATCTTGAATCCTCGGTTATATTGAAGTTTTTAGCTCACCTGAGCCGAAGGCTGTCTGTCTGTCTGTCCGTCTGTAAACTTTTCACATTTTCGACTTCTTCTCAAGAACCACTGGGCCAATTTCAACCAAACTTGCCACAAAGTATCCTTGGGTGAAGGGGATTCAAGTTTGTTCAAATAAAGGGCCACGCCCTCTTTCAAGGGGAGATAATAAAGAATTAGTGAAAAATTAACAGCATCTTTTAAAAATCTTCTCTCAAGAACCACAAAGCCAGGGAAGATGAAACTCATGTGGAAGCATCCTCAGGTAGTGTTGATTCAAGTTTGTTCAAATCTTGACCCCCAGGGGTAGGGCGGGGCCACAGTGGAGGATCAAAGTTTTACATAGAAATATATAGGAAAAACCTTTAAAAATCTTCTTCTCAAGAACAGCAAAGCCATGATGAGTCATATTTATATGGAAGCATCCTCAGGTAGTGTAGATTCAAGTTTGTTCAAATCATGACCATCGGGGGTAGGGCGGGGCCACAATGGAGGATCAAAGTTTTACATAGAAATATATAGAAAAAATATTTAAAAATCTTCTTCTCAAGAACAGCAAAGCCTTAATTGGTCACATTTATATGGAAGCATCCTCAGGTAGTGTAGATTCAAGTTTGTTCAAATCATGACCCCCTGGGGTAGGGCGGGGCCACAATGGAGGATCAAAGTTTTACATAGAAATATACATGAAAAATCTTTAAAAATCTTCTTCTCAATAACAGCAAAGCCCTAATTGGTCATATTTATGTGGAAGCATCCTCAGGTAGTGTAGATTCAAGTTTGTTCAAATCATGACCCCCGGGGGTAGGGTGGGGCCACAATGGAGGATCAAAGTTTACATAGAAATATATATGAAAAATATTTAAAAATCTTCTTCTCAGGAACAGCAAAGCCCTGATTGATCATATTTATGTGGAAGTATCCTCAGGTAGCTAGTGTAGATTCAAGTTTGTTCAAATCATGACCCCCTGGGGTAGGGTGGGGCCACAATGGAGGATAAAAGTCTGAAATAGAAATATATAGGAAGATATCTTCTGATGAAGAACTGCAAAGCCATGATTAGTCATTTTGATATGGAAGCATCCTCAGGTAGTGTAGATTCAAGTTTGTTAAAATGATGACCCCAGGGGATATGGATGGGCCATAATGGGGGATCGAAAATTTTACATAGGAACATATAGGAAAATATCTTCTCAAGAAATGAAAATCATGTTTTAGTCATTTTGATATGGAAGCATCCTCAGGTAGTGGAAATTCAATTTTGTTCAAATGATGACCCCCCGAGGGTAGGGTGGGGCCCAATAGGGGGATCGAAAGTTTTACATATAGAAAAAAATTTCTTCTGAAGAACAGAAAAGCTATGTTTAGTCATATTGATATGGAAGCATCCTCAGATAGTGTAGATTCAAGTTTGTTCAAATGATGACCCCTGGGATAGGGAGGAGCCACAATGGGTGATCAAATTTTTACAAAGGAATATATGGGAATTTTTTTTTTAAATCCTTTCAAGGACAACAAAGCCATTTGTTATATTGACATGGAAGCATCATCAGGTAGTTTAAAATTCAAGCCCCCCCTCCTCCCCCCGTAATCTTTTCAATACCGAACTGATTTGTGCTTTTGCCTTGCCAATGTGCTCAGGTGAGCGATGTGGCCCATGGGCCTCTTGTTTCTCGCTCCCAATGAGTTAGAGATAATGAGGCTTGACTGTATAATCAAATTATTGCCCTTTAGCAGGGTTGTCTCTAGGACCCAGGGGCCAGGGATTTTCCTTGCCTTTTATGACGTAATTCGCTGGTTATTCTGGTATTCACCCTTGACCCCCTGTTAGGGGGTGAACCCCAGATCCACATCTACTTTTTTAAATGTCCCTGCTATTTCAATTCTTAGGGACAACCTGCTTTATGCCAGAATATGTTCACATTAAGGGGTCATATTTTACATGAGAGTATAATTTTAACATTCTTAAAAAAAAATGTGAAGAGTACTAGAGCCACAGTTTGTCAAAATTCATATGACAGCATGCCCTAGTGCAATTTATGCAATTTATCTTTGAAAAAGTTTTACATAGAAATAAATACATGTACTTCATCAAAAACAACAAGACTACATTTTGTTAACTTGATAACAAGATCAAAATGCTATTGTTTTTTTTGTTTTTGTTTTTTGAAAACAAGCACATATGATTTAGATCCACAACAAAAGCTTTCAAACAAGTCTGTACAAATTCATTTATAAGGAAGAGATATATGACTTGGTTGAGCAATGTCCATGGCCCATTGGCCTCTTGCAGAGCTAGTGTGCTTTATATACACTGTACATGTGTCTTTCTTAACTCTGACAGGATGTTATGAGAGCATGGACGAAAGAGAAACCTGTAAAGGAGCGCCATCTACAGGACAATACACCATGTAAAGCTATCCTCAGTAAACCATGCACTAATGAAGTGTCATTTGAGGTGAGAGTAATGCATTTCTGAAAAGAAAATGCATAGTTTGTAAATACTAATTCAAAAGTGAGTACATATAGTGCCAATAGATGATTATTTCCACATAATGAAATATAAAATCACTAACTGCTTTTGACAAGTTAATTCATTACAAAGTTTGCACATGTACATGTACTAAAAAATAATTTTAGCTCACCTCAACGAAGTTGGGGGGAGCTTATGTAATACCCTCAGTGTAGGTGTTGGTGGCCCTAGTTAAAGTTTTTGGAGCAAATTTCTTTTCAAGTACTTCTTTGCCCTGTATTAATCAGAGATGCATGGGTGATGCTTCTAGTATGTTTCATTGTACCAATCAATGTTTCAAATGCTGCAATTTCAGCCCCAAAAATGACCAGGTTAATGATTTTGGCTCAGGTCAAATTTTTAGGAGCAGACCTCATTTTTTTAAGTAACTATAAGCCCTATATTGACCAATCTTGCATGGATGATACATGTAAGGATGTCCACTACTGGACTTGCTAAGGATGCTGGATCTGACCTACATTTTTTGGATGAGTGACCAGGTTTAAGTTTATGGAGCAGGTTCATTCTAAAGTAACTATTAACCCTATGTAGACCAGACTTGCATGGATGATACATCTAAGGATGCACACTACTCAGTACTGGACTTGCTGCTGATGCTGTATCTAACCTACTTTTTTTGGATGAGTGACCAGGTTTAAGTTTTTGGAGCAGGTTCATTCTAAAGTAACTATTAGCCCTACCTGGACCTAACTTGCATGGATGATACATCTAAGGATGCACACTACCAGAGTTCCTTTGGATGCTGAATTTTACCTTCATTTTTATGCCCCACCATGAATATGGCCAAGGCATATAGTGTTTGTCATGTCCGTCTTCCATCCTTCTGTCCTTCCATCACACTTTATGTTTAGGTCACTTTCAAAGAAACTATTCAAGATACTTTTATCAAACTTCATTTGCTGATACATATTGATGAGAGCTCTTCAACTACATCAACATTTTTTTACCTTAACCTTGATCTCACTTTTCTTAAGTTACTGTTTAGCTCAGTCTCAAAGAAATGTTTCAAGATATTTTTATCAAACCTTACATGCTGATACATACTGGTTAGAACTATTCAACTTCAACATTTTTTTTTACCTTGACCTTTCCTTTGACCTTAAATTCAATTTTCTTAAATTTCTGATTAGCTAGGTCTCATCAAACTTCGTGTGCTGATAGATTTGTAGAATTATTTATTTACACCTTTATAATAAATATACCAAAAATGGAATCAATAATCCATGGATATCTTGCATACAGAATATTCTTAACACTGCAGGACTATGTAATGTTTGGAATGATCAAAATTTTCATAGTGTTAAATGGATTGCAACTGCAATAAACCAAAAGCTTAAAGACCAGTTTTTACAAAAATGGTATAGTGATATGAATAATTCCAGTAAAGGTATTACATATAGAATTTTTAAAACAAAGTTTGAATGTGAAAAATACTTAACTATTATACCAAGAAAATTTAGAAATATCTTTTCAAAATTCAGAACAAGTAACCATCGTCTTCCCATAGAGGTGGGTAGATGGAATAATGTTGAAAGAAATGAAAGAGTGTGCTATTTATGTAATAATAATCAAATTGGAGACAAATTTCATTACTTACTGGAATGTAATGTATTTTGTAATATTCGAAAAGATTTTCTGTTAAAGAAATACTATGTACATCCAAATATTATAAAATTCTGTAATTTAATGACAAATACTGACCCAGCATTCTTAAGAAAATTGTGTATATTTATCATCAAAATTTTTGACACTGTCTGTCCTCCTGTAATCTCTGCTCGTCCATAATTATTGTAAATATGTATATATGTACCTCTTGTACCATTCATATGGTTTTTGAGAGAATAAATGAATGAAAATGAATGATATATATTGATTATAGAGCAATTCAACGGTGTGTTCCCGTTTTGCACACATTTGATAATTAGGTATAGAACAATAGGTTTGAAATATGTTTTGATAGCAATTATAGTCTGATCTCCATCTGGGATTTACCTGGAATTACCTGTATTTTACCAGTGCATAATAATATATATTTAAGGGAATACATTAGGAAAATTTTACTTATCCACCCGAAAATGAAGTTGATAGTTTAAACAAATATCCCTATCGCAGTTCACCCTTTTTATTTATTTCATAAATATAAAATGAATAGGTAAATGAATTCAATCTTAATTCATAAAAAAATAACCCGTCCAGTTAGTATCATGTGAATATAATTATAGTTTTGATTTGTATTTGTGATATTTCTTATGTTTTAAAATAATTCTTTTAAGAAATAAGTCAAAATATCAAGTGGAAAATTTTTTATGTAAGCTTAGGCCATCTTTAAAAAAACATGTTTGCTTGCCCTCTCCTTACTTGGGATAAAAATATTGGGGTGGTAGGTTGGAAGAAATTTTTTTTTTTAAATTAAAAGCACTTGTGAATATGAAGTTTAAAATAGTTCACAGTGGGGTGAGAAAACTTCGAAATGAATGAAAAATAATAATTGTTTCTTGGAGGTTAATAAAAGTTTTGAGTCAGGCCATTTTTAGTCAGTCGGTTGGAAGAGGGCAAACAAACATTCTTTTTTTAAAGATGGCCCTTTGCACTGATAATTATTTGGTGAGAATTTATCAACTGTGTTCTTTTTTCTTTTACCTTGATCTTCCCAATGACCTTTGACTTTACTTTTTACTGTGTTTAAAACTTAGTTTTAAAGAAACTATTCAAGATATTTTCATCAAACTTCATACACTAATACAAATTTTCATGTTGCATTTACTAATGAACCCTGGGCAGGGCATTCGTGTCCTATGGACATATTTCTAGTTTAGATGAGCGACCAGGTTAAAGTTTTTTGGAGCAGGTCCATGACCAAGAAACCACAAGGCCTATCTGAACCAAACTTGCATGGATGAATGCATCAAGGGATTCACACTACCAGAGTTGCTCCAGATGCTGGATTTAACGTACATTTTTCAGATGAGTGACCAGATTAAAGTTATGGAGCAGACTCATTCCAATGTAACTTCAAGCCCTTCCTAGACCAAACATGCATGGATGATGCATCAAGTGATGAACACTCTCAAACTTGCTTCAAAATGCTGGATTTAACTTACATTTTCTGGATGAGTGACTAATTTAAAGTTTTTAGATTAGTCCATTCCAAAGTCAAATGCAAGTCCTGTCATATTACCTATGATTATAGGTACATTGAGGGAGGAAGTAAAATTTTAGTTAAATCCTTTTCAGCTGCATCCCAATTCCAACCCTGAATCCAGACTGAAAGGTTTAACACGATGGCAGACCAACCCTGAGAAGAACTGGGGCCCTAAGCCAAGGGCTAAGAGAAAGATTGAGGACAAAAATAATGGTGGCACTACAGAAAGCAAAAAGGCAAAGGAGGTACCTTGACATGCTTAAAAATTCTATTCAGCAATTTCAGTTTATGATCTTATAATATATCTGTATAGAAATAGAGGTATGTTGTTCCAATTTTTTTTTGAAGAATCAGCATGTGGCATCTTCTTCTGATGGAGAGAAAGATAGCAGACCCTGCCGTCATTTTCAGAGAGGACGTTGTAAACGAGGGGATTCTTGTAAATTTGTCCACTGAGAAATTCCACTTCTTGCTATTTTGTCACCTTCTTACCATTATGAACAGTTCATGATACTGAAGTGACATTTATTTCTATGATCAACAAGTTATTCAAGCTATTACAAATTGTTAGTTCACTGATTTTTTAATAAATTCAACATTTTTTTCACATTTCGTATATTACACTAATAAGAATTAGAATTTTTAGCATTTGCATTCGTGATATTAATGTTCATTGATAGATACTGTATATAGCCATAAGTGAGTCTTCATTTCATTTTTTCAATATATTTCATTGAAAAATATCTTTCTGAAAAAAAAAAGTGAATTATTGCAACAATTTTTGAAGCTGTTTTTCTGAACATTATGAAATGCAGAACTGTTTGTAGATTCTTCGCATAATTTCAAAAAATAATTTTATTTAATTTTTCTTTATGGGATTTTGGTGATATTACACGTACATATCAAATGCCAAGTTGAAATTCTACGACTCAGTGTTGTTAACAAATTATAGTGTATTATGATTAAAAATTTTGACATGATGATTTCATAAATTATTCTCAATGATAAATGTTTCCATTTGCATAGCAACTGGGAATTTTGAACATCTTTGCTTAATTATGTGAAAAAGAAAAAATTGGAAATCAAGGGAAAAAATCACAATATAAAGGTATTATAAAAATTGGCTTTTGAAATGTATTGTTGTACATGATGACTCACTTATGGCATATACTGAAGGTAGTAATCATGAATAAATGCACTATGGGTGGAATGCAAGTTGCTAAATTAGGAATCCAGGTGATATACATGTAAGTATAAAACACAGATGTGATATCCATATTCCCCAATTTTATGTTGGTGTTTTACTCTGTTGTACATTATTCTGTAGTCAAGGTAAACAAATGGGAGTCAGTTCTTAGTTTATTATGAATACAGATAATAAACATCAACAATACAGTCAAAAAGAGGACACAGTTTACAAGCTTTCCTGTAAGTTTACATTTCAACTTCATTCAAAATTCTTTCGTTTCCAAAACGGTGCATAAATATTACATAATTTAATAATTTATGTGCAACAATACACATAAAAAAAAAAGATAATAAATGCTAGTATTTTTCACATACTTAGATGTTGTCCTAGGGATTTATTAATTACACAATAAAATTGCCAGCAGTCTTTGTAAAGAAAGTAAATGTTTCAGATTATAAAAAAATTTTAATCTTGAATTACTCAATTTATAAGTTGAAATAAATTGTTGAACCCTGCATATACTTTTTGTAAGACAAACATACAAATAAATAATGAACAAAAATATCACAGACTTAGTAAAAGTTATTGCAACATTTACAAAACAGAAATATGTCCTGGCAACACTGGCCAGACAGAGACACATTTCCTCAAATGCAATTATAAAAAGGAAAAATCTCCACATGACAGAAAACTTCTGTCTTACAAGAAATCTAGAGTTAAACAGCACCAGATGATGGACGGATTAAAAAGTTCAAAGAGGGACATTTATAAGGTGTGACAAAATAAAATATCACTTGAATATTTTCCATGATTGTATCTTTTCATGGTGGATCACAAAATAAGGACATTATGAAGGGCTGCCAACTATTCAGCATCAGTTCAACATTAAGGGCATTAAAACAGATTAAGATGGTTACAATTATCGTAAACAGTTGTATTTATAATTCTTTGCTCATTGTATTCATTTATGCAATTCATACAGTAATGTACAACAATTCACAGAATTATCAAGATGAGCACATATGCTGTTTCTCCTGTTTGACCATGTCAACAAAAGTATGGCATACATATACAAATACAGAATAATTAATATACACTTCATACATCTTACAATGTTTGTATCAGAAACAGAAATAATTGCATCATTCAGTTTATAGTAAAGCATTTTCCTAATAAATCCTAGTAGGAGATCCTGAGCAGAGTCCCTCAGAAGAGCAAACAGGTTTGGCTGTTTTAATTCACAAAAGTTACACAAGACTTGGACCATTAACTTAGGCTACCTCAGAATCTTCAGCATTTTCTACAGTTGTTCCTAGAATGCTCTCAATGTCTTTTATTGCAAGCTATAAAAACAGAACTTCATGGGTATAATCTTGTACATTGAGAAGTTCTAATTTACTGACAAGTGATACATATTAAGTAAATATTGAATGGGACCATTCCTACCTTGAAATTAGTCTCTCCCTGCATGTTGGGTGCTGATATTTCTTGGTGGATGATAGACATATTTCTGGCAAATGTGGCTAGTGCTCCTTGTAAATTATCACCAAGTGTTCTGCAATGAGATTAAATTTTGTTTAAAATGCCAATTTCATATACATGTACAATGATATATCAACATTTGTTTTGATTTAACTAATGATACAACAGTTAAGCAATACTCACAGCATTCCCAAATTCTCCCTGTTGAAACTATCTAAGAGGGTAAATACTGTGCCTTGTTTTTCCTAAAATGAGAACACAATCATGCACATTACACCTACTACAACTCCAATGGTTTTTACAAAATTTTAAAGGAATTTTAATGGCTGTAAAAGTTGGAGCATACCTTGATATCATATCCAATGCCATGTGCTCGGCACATCTGGAAGAATACGCTGTAGTGAACCACAGCCAGATTTGTGTGGAGAAGTCGCGTGCTCATCACAGCGTATCGACTTGTGTTGGGTGGCTGTTCATCCTCCTGACCTGCCAATCTACGACGTCGCTTCTTCTGTTCTTGTTTGGGTGGTGGTACATTGAATGTATGAGTGTTTAAGTCTAGTTTGCCATTACTGACATAGGACATCAGCTGGAACATTGCTAAGCTATCACTATAGTGGAGACTGAGATCCAAGGCCCATAACTTCTGATCATTCTGTCAAAAGAAAAAAAAATTAATGCACATGGCATAAAACTACCGTCAGCCATTGAAGACAATAAATATTTTATGGTAAACAATTGCTACTAGTTAACCAATAATTTACTGAAATAAAGTGAATTAAAGAATTTCAATTCCCACTTACAGATTTGGGATCAATAAATGTGACAAAATCAACAGACAGATAACCAATGATGCCTCTTGACTTGCAGGCCTCTGCTACTTTTTTGCATGATGCATTGAGGACATCTGGTTCCACTGACGACTGGGGCATAGAAACACCCCAGCAGGAAAAGGGGGTCTCGGCGTGGATTTGATCCCCCATACACAGGACATTGGCCCGTCCTGTGGGCTCAATCAACATGTCTACAGTCAAAGTAGTGATGCTGTCTGAGGGAGGGGTGGCCTCAATTACACCACCTGTAATGTACAGCAGTGTTCATACATGTAGCATGGCAGGAAACAAAATGAGCATACTTAAACTTTTCAATGAAGTGATGGTAAATGTTTTTAATTACCCTGACTTAAAAATGCATCCAAGAATTTTGACCAATCTTCATACAGTTCTGAATGTACAGGTCTAGCATGCTTAGCCAAGACATCAGGGATTTCTGCATGGATCTTAATGTAAGCTGCTTCCTGTCAAAATAAAGTAAAAATTTCGAATGTAAATACAATCCCAATCAACTTATGTGATTCTATGCAGCCTTTGTAACTTGTGGGGAATACAGAACATACCTGAGCCCACTTTTTACTCCACTTCTCCCCGTATCTCCGTGATTCCTTCAGAGCCCACTGGTAGCACTCTAAGTGTTCAGCAATATCACAGTAACCTATCCCTCTTCCATCATAGCCATCATCTAGCTTAAACAGCCATCGCTTCACCGTCAAGTTCTCTGTTACTAACTGAGCTAGACACTCGTGTAACTAATCAGAAAAAAGAAAAGCACCAATAGTTGTATATTATTTATGCTATACATTTTTTAAGTGAACAAGGATGCTATTCAATGCTCATCTCATGCTGTGTTACTTTTGAAGCAAGTCTAGGAATTGGTGTGAATAATAGAATTGCCACTCACCTGACCAATACTGTAAACATCAAATTCACTAGGTGGGACCTCTACATTAGCACTAGCAAATATTCTCTTACAGCCAGACTTTGTGGAGTAGAGATGTGCCACTTCTGGTTCTGGGGAGAGGATGGGGACATCAAGATAATCAGCAATGGCAAGATCATCCTTATGAGGTACCCCTGTCACTATGTATGCATCACAGCCCTTGATCAAGTGTTGAATACGCTTCAGTGTCCGAGGGCTGTACTTCAGGATGGATGACAAACACATTCTGTGAGCCTGGCAAGAATATGGTATTAAGTTTGCTTCTTAGAGAATTTGTTAAAAGACAAGTCAACTTAACAAGAAATTCACCTTTCAAAGCCACTATTTACATCACAGGAACAATATTACGGTGAAGCCCATGATTTTCAAACCTATTCCAATGTCCATCTCAACATCAATTATTTTGTAAAAATTATTAACTTAAACCTAAAGCAATAGCTTTCAGCTGCTTTTGTTTTGTTTGATTACTTACAGGGAAGCTTTTGATGGCCTCCGGGACAATGATTTTGTATTTCTCCCCCATATCACACTGATCCTCCACTACCCCAGACTCCACCGCAGACTTCAGTCCCAAGAGCTTAGAGTAATACTGTAAAGTCTCCTCACTCAGGGGGACAGGAGACACAAAAATCACATCTACATTGGGATCTAAAAAAAATTGTATTTATGTTGGAAAAATAAAAATATGATGTTGCTGACCTTTTTTTCATTTAAAATATGTGTAACCAAAAAGTTAAGTTATTTTTCAAATAAAGCATGGGATAAACAAAGTTTTAGGAAATAAAGAACAGTTTCCCTAGTAAATCCTCATGTTTTCATTCCTAAAACTGTTATACCTCTGATATCACAAAGACGAGCCATCTGGGTGTTTTGTCTGATTCCAAACTCATTAATACTGTCTCTTATATCCTGAGAAAGGCCTAATGATGGAATGTGTATAACAGTCCTACGGTGTTGTTTAATTCGATCCCAGGACATTGCAAGTTTCTGAAGAAGATATTCACAGATATAATTATGCCCATTACACAAGTAAATTCATTTATTACAAATTATGTATAGATTTGTAAAATGTTTATAAGATTGCCAGCCACTATAAAATAAGGAACATTTTTAGGTACCCTTGCTCTTCTTCTGAAGTTTTCTAGATGCTCCTCTCTTGACT